ACTAAACCAAGAAGAGATTAACAGCTTAAACAGACCCATAACACAAAAAGAAATTGAAACAGTAATACAAAACCTTCCAACTAAAAAAAGCCCAGGACCAGATGGATTTACTCAGAATTCTATCAGACATTTAAAGACGATCTACATCCAATACTACTTAATTTATTCTAAAAATAGAAATGGAGGGAAAATTTCCAAATTCCTTCTATGAAGCCAGCATCACTCTCATACCAAAGCCTGGTAAGGATACAACCAAAAAAGAAAACTATAGACCCATATCCTTAATGAACATAGATGCAAAAATTCTCAACAAAATACTTGCAAACTGCATACAGACACACATCAGAAAGATCATTCACCATGATCAAGTAGGCTTTATCCCAGAGATGCAGGGCTGGTTCAATACATGCAAGTCAATAAATGTCATTAATCATACAAATGGACTCAAAGACAAAAACCACATTGTCATCTCAATAGAGGCAGAAAAGGCTTTTGACAAAGTTCAGCATGCCCTTATGTTCAAAGTCCTAAAGGGAACTGGACTGGAGGGAACATACCTCAACATAATTAAAGTTATATACAACACAACCACAGCCAATATTATTCTAAATGGAGAAAAACTGGAATCATTCCCATTAAAATCAGGAACCAGACAAGGATGCCCACTATCTCCACTCCTTTTCAACAGTGTTTGAAACTCTTGCTAGAGCAATAAGACAGGAGAAGGAAATTAAAGGAGTACTAATTGGAAAAGAACAGGTCAAACTATCACCTTTTGCAGATGATATGATACCATACCTAAGAGATCCCAAAATTACCACTAGAAAACTCCTAGAACTGATCAATACTTTCAGTATAGTGGCAGGTTATAAAATAAATCTACAAAAATCAGTAGCCTTTCTATATACCAATAACAAGTAATTGGAGAAAGAATACAGGGAAATGCTCCCATTCACAATTGCTGCAAAAAAATTAAAATATCTTGGAATAAATCTGACGAAAGACACCAAAGATCTCTACAATGAAAAATTTAAATTGTTAAAGAAAGAGAATGAGGAAGACATCAGGAGATGGAAGGACCTTCCATGTTCATGGATTGGAAGAATTAATATTGTTATAATGACCTTCCTACCAAAAGAAATATACAGATTCAATGCAATACCAATGAAAATCCCTGTGACATACTTCACAGAATTAGAAAAATGCATCCTTAAATTCATATGTCGGCACAAAAGACCCTGGATAGATAAAGCAACCCTGAGCACAAAGAGCAATGCTGAGGGGATTACTATACCAGATCTCAAAGTATACTACAGAGCCATAGTAATAAAAATAGCATGGTACTGGTGCAAAAGCAGTACATCATTGAAGATCCAAACCTGAGTACATGCAATTTCAGCCACCTGATATTTGACAAAGGTGCCAAGAACACACAATGGAAGAAAGACAG